TTTATCAGAGGATTTCACCACTGGGAAGTGACACACATCTGCCATATTCCTATTTTGTATTTAGAAAAAAATCTGTGTGAGTTTGGATGTGTCCTATGCCAATATTCCATAAATATTTAGAAAAAAAGATCTCCAAAAATATTTTCCCATTTCTTGTCACTTGGGTAATTATTTATTTCTGTGGTACCCTACCCCTGGTCCTTGGCCTGCCTTGACACATTTCATGCAAAATCACTACTTAGAGAGGTGGCATACAGAAAAGACACCCTGGACTTTCAAATATCCCATTTTTCTTATGCATTCAGATTTCCTTTACAATCCAGCCAACTACCTATCCTTGTAAATAAAATGTGATTGAAACACAAGTCCATTTGCTCATCTTCTCTGCGGCAGCTTTTTCTGGCAGTGTTGGGCAGTTGTGACTATTCGTCTGGCCTGCAAAACCTGAAATATTTATTTTCTGGACCTTTAGAGAAAAAAATTTGTGACCACTTACTTTAGAATTATTTGTCGTCACTAAACAGGATGGAAAGAACTAAAGATAAAACATCAGAATCTGAATTCCATATAGGAAGAGGTTTCCCTGGGGAAAAAACCCAGTCATGATAAGAGTTGTTAGCAGAACAATGTCCTTTGGTTGCCTCTTCTCTGCTTTCCCATTCCTCAGTGACCAAGTTCTCTCCACTATTTCAAAGCACCGACAGCCCCGTAACCCCCATATCCTCACTCCTCCTCAGGTAATCTCAGCTCTTGCTACCGTCAGTGTCACACTGTCCATCTCCACATTGTGTTGTTTTATTTTGCCTGCTTATTAAGTCAGCTTCCACAGTTAAACTATAAACCATTTCAATATCACCTAGGCAACCCAGCAGGGAAGAGGCAGTCTGCTAAGGTTATCTAACTGGGGAATCTTTGTAAAGGGACTGTTTGTGGAAGTGGGGGCAGAGCTACAGAAAGCCAGCCTGAAATGGTCTACCAACATTGGAAGGCTCCTCCCATGAGGAGGCATGAAGAGCGAAGGAGCTCAAACAGAGAGAGCCATGGTATAAGGATAGATAGAGCATGGGAGAGGACTGCCCAGCCAAAGTTGCAACCTGAGGCAGAGGAGTGTATCACTGTTGTCCATGAAGAGGCAGGAAATCAAACACCTCCATCTCTGACCTCCTGCAGGCTCTTCTCACTGGCCACACCCAATCGAATGCCAGAGGCCTTCGAGCACCTTTTTATTCATGTCCAGAGAAGCATCCTCCATGGACACAAAGCTAGGTAGGGAAGGATGAAAAGTGGACGTAGAGGTGGAGATGGAAACTCCCCTGCACATTCTCCTAGCTGGTTTTTATACTGCTGCTGCATTGACTCAGCTTTGCAGTGATAGAAGGACCTGAGTATTGTAACGATTTCAATGCAAATGCTCAAGAGGCCGAAGGATGAGTTGAAGGACTTGTGTAGCTGCATTGCTGCCCCTTTGAGTCTATCAAAACTGTACAGCTGTCAGACCTGAGGATCTAATAGTCAGTGTTTTGTCATCCTTTGGAGGAAGTAAAAAGGGTACGAAGAAGGAATTCATCAGAGAATCTGCTACTCTCATCTGGGCCTAAAAACAAAAATGATTTTCCCTAAATGAAAGGAGAAAGTTTACTGACACAATGCAAGCTGCCAAAAAAGATACAGCAGTTCACTCACCAGCCTTCTCATCAGCCAAATGCTATCACAGCTACAAGTGTCAACAGCTATACACACTGCCTGGTCTTGCAAATAAAAAGTGCAGTGGAAAATGTTGACTTTTTCTTACCAAAAGCATCCTGGGGAGAGCTGAACAGTTTTGGGTCAAGAAGAGGCCTCGATTTCTAGGGTGATTATTATTGTTATTAGAGAAAGAGTTGTGCTTGCCGCAAATACACAGCTACTTGACACGCTCCTGCTGGGGAAGGCAAGCTTGTTGTCACTTGTCTTTCTCTCTGGCTTTTCCTCCCACCTAGGAGCACATTTTTCATTTCAGTTTCACCTACCTGTCACTTTGTCCTTAAAAAGGATAATTTATAAAGTAAAAAATCATTGATGTCAAAGAACATATTTTAGTATTACAAAACACACACACGATATGAGTTTCTCTTGGATACACACACACTCAAACCCTCTTCTGCACCAAATCCTAAAAGAAAAAAAATTATAATTAAGGCTCACAAACTCAATTCCCTCAATGGGAACTTTTTTGCATATCTTAACTATAAATTTCTTTATTTTGTGGTTCCTCCAGCTTAAAAATTTAAAGCCATTGCAAGGGGGCTGTAATTCCTAACTCCACACTTTATGATTTGATTTTGTAAAATAAAAAATGTAATGATGTTAATAGTACCTTATTCTTGGAGTACATTATGAGGAATTTTCTGCAAAATCTGAGAGTGGAAATTACCTCTGGGCCTCCTAACTCTTAAAATATGGGTCATAATGATTATTGCAATTGAATTTCAAAACTTAAGAATTTTATGTTTCTTTTTCTTTAAGTTTCCTAAAAGGACAACTTGTCTTCCTGGGATAACATGTAATGAAAGATAAGGCACTGAGTGACAGGTAGAGACCTGTGTTCTGCTCTTGGTGTAATCCTAGTGGTATGATATGAGCAAAAGCAGTTAACCTCTCTGGGCCTCAGTTATTCTTTCTATGCAGTGAGGGACTGGAACTCCATTTCCATTTAGCATACTATGATTCCAAAAACAAACAAGGAAAAATAAAATGAAATACATGCCTTGTGAATGAAAAGTGTACCGTGATGTCAACTTTTTCTTATTTTCCAGCAGTCCTTATCTAGAATCAACCCAACTGCTTCTTTCTTAGTTCTGTGTGGAGGCACACATGACCTGCATGCGTGTCTTCATGAGCCAGTGACTTTGATCTCAACCCAGTCTAGTTCTCTTCCTGAGAGTCACAGCAGAGTTCATTTGAGAGAGTTTCATTGGATCCTGCTCCCAAATAACTAAGAAAGAAAAAATCCTGTTGTTGGCACTGCCCCAGTAGAATCTTATGTGAAACGGAGAACATAATACCGAAACTGTAGGCATCTGACCAAAGTGCTATGTCCAACGTATTTAAGCACCCCATGTACATAGGTATCATTTTCCAGGCTGTTCCCAAGATGGACATGCAAATGTAGTAGTTATTGTGCTTTTAGGGGACAAGGAAGATATCTATGCCAATTGGAAAGCAAGGTTGGTTTTGAGTTTTCAGCTAGCACTAGTAATGTGGCAGGATTTTACTTAAGTCCATGTTCAAGCTGTCTCTAGATAAAATTGAAATTGAGCAAAGGTTTCAGAGAGACTGTTTCCTCTTTGCCCTGGTCTGTAGGTATAGAGTAACTGCAGGTAACCCACCACCCCTCCCTGCCTCATCCAAGCCCACCCTTGCCTTGCCCAGGACTCTGTACTCTGCGTTCTTTTATCTGTTAATTCCCTCAACAAAATGCTGCTCATCTGGTTGACAGCTGGGAGTGATCCAAGGCATTTTACTAATGAGTGCTAGTATGAGTTATTGAAAAACAATAGCTTAGTATGTTTGCCTTTGTAGGACATTTGCATATTAGTTGAGACCTAAGGCAAAAATCTGTGGCTTTTGGGACCAGTGAACAAAAGATGATATTTCTGGGTTAAAGAGATTCTTTTCTGAGCTGCTCACATCGTACCATATGGCTGTCTGAGTCCCTGACTGAGCCCAAGACAGCCCATACTGGCATGGTGCTCTGTAAGAAGAGTTTTTCTTCTGAAAAGCAGAGGCTGTGAAATTATATCATTATCACAAGTTTTCTCAGAAGTGCAAAATAATAGACATATATAATCCAGTCATACCACATTCCATATTGAGACAGCAAAACCTAAGAGATGAGATGGAGTCACATCCACAGGGAGAATTAAACAGACCTCCCAGCTCCCCAGCCTGTAGAGGTATACTGGTCAATGCATAGTCCACATAGTCACAGAAGTTGATTCTCAATAACAAGAAAAAAACTTGACCTGAAAAGTTTAATATAATCGTTTTCTCAACCTAGAAACTCATGTCTATAAACAGGAAAATCATCAACCATTGTAAAGGGAACCATCAACCATTATGTGGCAAATGACTAATCTGTACATGACACAACAAGACATATAGCTAGAGAATTGAATGGTTCAACCAATAAATCAATTCAATAACTATTTTACTGGACAGCTTTCTATAATCAACCCCAGGCCAGGTACTGTAAGTACACAAATGAACAGAACATATCCCTGTAAAACATGCAAAAGAAGAGACCATGCTAAATTTTTATTTTAATAGATGAACAAAAAGAGAAAGGAATGGCTCTCTTGATTTGATTTCTTGCTCTGTTCACATGCATCCTGGACCAGAAGAGGCTATCCACACATGTTAGCCCACAGCCTGAGAAAACGTAGCCAAGCTTTTGAAATCAGTGCCTTAGTCTGTTTCTTGAACTAACCAGATTCTCATACATAAAAGCCAATCCAAACAGGCTGTTCAGAATGATGTCCATCAGCATCAAAACTCTTAGAAAGAAATTGTATGGATGACTGAACTAATTTACATACTTAAGAAAATCTTGAGCACTTTCTTGGCTCTTCAATATCTGAAGCTGCATTGAATTCTTGTTCAACCTAACCTCACAGTTAAGATAAATGGGTGAGGGAGTAACTATATATAGGCTTGGCATTGGGCATTGGCAGTACAGTAGAGTTTTTGTACAGGCTAAGTCTATTTCAGCTGGAATTAATATAATTATATATAATGTTGACAGATTATGACATTTGCACATTAAGACACTATACAAACATTCCCATAATTTGCCAGTTTTGAATTTATAAAAAATAAATGAAATGAAATCCCAAGGGACGTTGTTAATGAGGTAACTGGAATAGAAGTTTCAAAAGCACAGGGCTCAGGAAATAACAGTCAAAGAATAATGTACGTTAAGCCAAAATATATAGAGTAGTAAATGAATATTTAGTACTTACCACAAGACTGCTGTCCAGAGACAGCCTTTTTCCAAAGTCCCTTTTCTCAAGCTGTCTCTTCCCCTCCATGAGTGAAGTTATTTATTTTCCTTTGTGATTTATAAGAATCCCTCGTCTCTTTTCAGGGTCACTGCAAAAAGTGAAAGTGTGTTTTACTATCCAAGTGCACTGTGTTTAGACTCTTAGTTTTCAATTTTATAACCAGAAACAAGTAACGGAGCCATCGAAATACCCAAACCCCAGTGATAAGTACACAACTAGGATCTCTCAACTGAAAAGACCTCTCTGGCTTGCAAATGTCAGAGCTGTCTTTTCAGAGGCCCCTGTGTTTTCATAGGTTTTGCTAATGGAGTTGGGGAATGGGTTTGCAGGTTGAATCAGCAGACTGTGGAAAAAAGCAAACACTCCGTTTCATGCCACACTTGCTCCACACCCATCGTCTCTCTATCAGCCAGAAGCGTTCTGTTACTGTGCACACAGATGCTGTCTGCAAATTCCACGAGATCAAATTGACAAAACCAGGCTCCATAACCAAGAATTATTAAGCCCAGAGCCCAACGAGGGGAAACTGAAACACGAACACTATTGTCAATATTTAATTTTAAAATATGTCATTTAAAAATATTTGAGGAACATTACAAGATACATTCCTTTTGGGACAAGTGATTCAGAGAGAATGGTGGGTGATGTCATTGTCAATGGATACTCATTGCACTTTAACATATACTTCATTCCTGCACTCTACTGAGACTGCTTATTCTAGAAAGGGTAAGCATCTTGCTTATCAGAGATCTATCATGTGCATGAGTCCTAGCTTCCAGTTTTCACCGACATGTAAAAGGCTTGAAATGAAAGAAATGGGGTTGTACCTATGTTTTCTTACCGGTTAGCTGAGTAACATCGGGCAAGTCATTGAGCCTCTCTGAAACTCATTTGCTCAACTGTAAAAAACACAACTGTGGCGATCCAATGATATATGTTAAATGACTTGAGGCAATGATTTATGATTTAAATTATAATTACCCAAATATTAAACCTCCAAATAGTTAACCTTAATTATTAGTCAATATAGTTCCGTACATCCTTGATGATACAGGAGGCACCTGGAGATGCAGAACCTGCTCATAATCCTCATAAATAAGCACAGCCATGGCACTGCTGACATAGAAGAGATGAGCAGAATAAAATGCTGTATTAACCAGTCTAATTTTTTTATTTTTTATTTTTTGGTTTTTTTTTTTTTTTTTTTCCCAGTACGGGGAATTGAACTCATGACCTTGCACTTGCCAGGCAGGTGCTGTGCTGCTGAGCTAAATCCCCAGCCCCTAACCAGTCTTTTATAAAACCAAAAAGAAGTAGATTCTACCACTCTCCATTATTCCAAGTCCAACATGAGTAGAGCAGTACTGACCACAGCCACAGCACACGGCCTCTTTCTCTTGGAAAGGATCAATCGAAGGATCGAGATAACCGCGCATGAGACGGTTTGCCCCAAGTACAGTCAGCCTTGGAAACTGATGGACTCATTTTCCAGCCTTGGCTCCCTCCTCCACCTTTGTCACTCTAAATCTCCCTCTTGGGGACACTAATCTTAATATATCACCAACCTACACAGAAATTCCTAGGAGCCCACTCAGAATTAAGGAGAAAATCCAAAAAAAATCAACATCATTTTTCAAGGCCTGTTTCCTGCCAACGAGTCTTTTACAATCCCCAGGCACATGAGGCACATTCCTGAGAGCACGCTTTTGATTGTAATTCTCACCTCCATCTGCTCTAATCCTCGCTGCACTCCAGTACCTGGCTCAGACCCTGTCTCCTTCACAAGACCTTGCTGGAGAACTCCATTTAATAACGATTCCTTTTCTCTCCCAATTTTCATTGCAGTCATTAGAGTCTTGCCTTCTGAACCACCTTCATCATTTCGGTAGTTGCTTAAATACAGTAAGTTCTTACTATATGCTTGTTGGCAGAATTGAGTAGTTAAACACAAAGAGAAAATCCAGAACTTACTTTTTCAGAAAATAACTTAATTGTGTGTAGTCACTGTGGGCGAAGGTATTAGTCAACCGAAATTTGATTTGCGAGCCTGCCTTTCCTTCCCAGTTCAGCTGCTCACTTGTCAGCCCCAAGTCTTGTTTCAGTGACTATGTTTACTGCTGTCTCAAAATATCTTTCATAATGATGAATTCAGCTAAAGAGACTACTCAAGCCACTATGTTTACACCATGATTCTTTCATTATTAATCCCTAAGAGGATGAGAGTTTGACGGGTCATAATGGATTACCCTTTGGTACTTAGCACATATGTATTGAATGCCTGTATAGAATACCTAATCTGGAGATGTTGGTAACATAACCATAAGAAAGCTTAGAATAAAGCTTAGAAAAGGTATGCCACATAGAGGAACCTAATAACCTCAACTAATGTAGACATTATATGCTATAACATGAGCCAAGATTAATAACATCAACAAAGAGGAATTGGAAGAGGAGAAAGGGAAGGGGAGGAAAGGGAATTTAAGAAAAAGAAACAAGCTGTAGTATGTACATGTAACCGCTCTCCAAGATGACTGTAAACTGCATAAACTGCAACACGTACTAACAAAATATTAAGTTTTAAAAAGCTTATAAGAAAGACTAGGTCTACATCTTTATGGACCTTATATTACAGTATATAAACAATGAGTAAGCAAATAGAAATAACTCCAAATTGTGATAGGTAGCTACATGAAGGAAATAACCCCCAGTAGGTAGTACAATAATGGTCAAGTATATGGACATGGAAACTTTTTGGATAGAATGGTTAGGGTAGAAGTAGATATGCAAAAAGAAAAGTAAATATGATTCCAGGCAAAGGGACAAGGAAAAGGACCCAGAAAGAGGCTTTGTGTGCCATTGAAGAGAGGACCAATTTCCTAAAATTGGAAAAAACTAGAAGGAATATGTGTGAACAAAGTGCTAAGTTCTAGGTAACAGTTATGGGCTTTTGCTCTAAACACAAAGGTTAATCTTAGGGTTCAATACTTACTTTAATCCTTACCAGCTGATAATATTGAAAAAAGTATTTAAAGTATTTAATTCTGAGTTAATTCTTCAACAAAATGTCATTTGTTGTGAGACCTTTCTCCTAGTAGGGTTGTTGTGATGATAAATAAGACACTGTAGTAAAGAGTTTTGCTGGTGACTGGTGCATAGTGGATAAGATTTAAATACTAGACATATTGATCTTTGCTTCTGGTAAATCTGATTAAACTCTAGCTGTTAGACTCTCTATCCCATTATAGGTTGATGAGGCCATCATTTTGGGAAAGGGTGATCCTTTTAAAAGTTCTTAAATAGTCTAGCCTTCTTATGTGAAAAGCTGATTCAATTGCCTTACATGGTCAATTTCCTTTCACTTTATAGTGTCAACAATATAGGTAGAAATAATGATCAAGTTGTGTCAGCAATATTGCATAGACATTGACTGACTATGAAGGTACAGACCAATGAGAACAACAATACACTATAGTAGTACAACCTAGCAAGTTACCAGCCTCTGTAAAGGTGCTACTCCCACCCCAATGATGTACACTTGTGAGTTAAATGGGAAAACATGAGAAGGATCAGAGTGAAGGTATCCAAGTGGATCAAAAAGGACACCCAAGAGAAACAAAATGGCCTACAGAATGGGGCAATCAATCTAAAGTGGGTGGGCGTCTAGGAAGGAAAAGTCAGACAAGCTTATTCTCATATACCACCTCTAGTGTTTTTAGGAAAGATATCGCTGACATGTGTCCAGCACAGACCACAGGTCTGCAGCAGGAACAAATATGTCAGATCTCAAAGACTCATGCGATCACACAGGCCATTTACGCCTTGCAACCAATACAACCTGCCCAGAAACTACTTTCACCAAGCAACCTTCCAATTTCATTTGACCTCTATGCGGTTTTACTTATAGAAGAATGTGCTGACCAGCAAATACAAGTAGATACTCTTTCAGAAAGTCACATTTGAATACAAAGTTGCAAGTTGGTGTACAGAATTTTTAATGTTCATTATCTAAACATCTGGTCAGTGAAACAGTCCCCCTGGGCTTCCATAAGAGTAACACAGACTGGGTGGAGTAAATGAGAGATGCTAGCATCTTTGGCTTCTCCTGAGGTCTCTCTTCTTGGCTTGCAGATGACTGCCAATGAGCTGAGTCTTCACACGTCCTTTTCTTAGTGTATGCACATCTCCAGGAACACCTCCCTTTTCATGAGGACACAAGCATTAGATTAAAGTTCCCCCCATGAACTTTTTAACTATAATTATTTATTTAAATGCTCTGTCTCCAAATGCAGTTACATGGGGGTTAAGACTTCAAGCTAGGAATTTTGGTGGTAGCAGAAGGACATGATGCAATTATCATATATGAATGTTTTAATAATCAGATTTATGAGTCTGAAGAGCTGAGGGAAAACCCTCAGTTCTACTAAGGCAGTGGCTACTCCCAGACCCCTTCCCTATCTGACAGTTATTTGAATGTTCGAACTTAGTATCGCCTCCTCTAAGTGTGCCCTGCTCTATTCTTCTTTGTATTATGGGTATAATGAAAACTACATTGTTGAGAATTCTTGGTCAGTGGGTTCATTTGATTTTTGCCTTGGGAAGTGGTGACAAGAGATTCAAAAACAATAAAAAGGGAAAAGCCATTCTGCTCATCTCTAGCTGAGCAGCATCAACAGCACGTGTCTGTTATGGCTTGTGTGTAGATGTCCTCCCAAAGCCTCATGTGGTCATAGGGTTTTTTCAGAGGTTGTTGAATCTAGAATGTGTGATTGATTCATAGTGCAATACTGGGATTAAAGGTGGGTGATTGTTGGACCAGTCCACTGACTGAATTGGCACCACCCTAATCCCAGTATACTGGATACAATATAAGGGACAGAAAAGGGATTGTCTTGCTCTCTCTCTTGCTTTTGCTGTCTTCTGCCACCATGAACTGTTGCCCCTCAGTCATGTGCCACCCTGCCTTGGAGCCAGCCTATTATGGACTGAAACCAACACAAACTGTGGGCCAAATAAATCTTTCCTCCTCTAACTTTGGGTGTCAGGTATTTTGTCTCAGCAATGAGAGAGAAGTAACTAGGACACTGACTA